TGCTTGGCTAAGAGTCGAAAACAGCTATATTCGTTTAAATACACTAGTTTACAGCATATTTGAACTTTGTACGCTGATGGTCATTTCCCATGTAAAATCGTGCGCTGAATCCAAAAATGCAGTCCAAAAAAATCTCGGTAGGATAGTTTTGGAGATATAGGGGTAAGAGAGGCATAGTGAACAGGTGGGGCATAGTGAGCATCGCGCGTGCTCCAGCTTGGACTTCCGGCCGTTCAGAACAAATTTGTTGGCTGTAGGATCAATATCTTAATGATATTGATCCTACTACCAGTTGATTTGTTTCATGCAGTTGGAGATCCAGAGCCAAAGTACGGGATGCTCACTATGCCCCATCTGTTCACTATGCCCCTCCTTCCCCTAGCTAAAAAAATAAATGTCACGTTAAATAAAACTAAAATACAAATATCTCTGCAATGAAGTGATATTTATTATTTTAACGCCAAATTAAATGTGATAAAATTTTATTTCGATCGTTATAACACTATTTTTCCGTGAGAGTAATGGTAGAACCACCATAAACATTTTAATTTACATTGCTTAAAAACTTAGCAGAAATTAAATTTTTCTTAGGAAAACTTAAAAAACAAACTATTAACGAACAACAATACCATCAATCTCACTGACAATTGATGTTCAATTGATCGAACTAAAAAATGTCTTACCTCTAATTTAGCGTTAAAATAATTGATATAATCTCATTACAACCGGAGATATTTGTATTATAGTAATCAAACTTGTTTAAAGTGAATTTTCATTTTTAGCTGTATCTCAAAAACTATCCTACTGACAGTTTTTTCGACTACATTGTTGAATTCAGTGCACGATTTTACATAAGAATCATTCGTCAAAGGTTCAAGTTCATTTATTTTACTTTTACTTTTTTAACTAATGATATCAACGTTAGATTAATTGATGCTCCAATCGATTCAAAGGAGAGGTAACTGAATTCTTTTTATTTAAGAAGGTAACTGTTCTGGATTTTTATGCTAACTAATATCATGTTTAAGGATTAATTTCTTCCAAATTTTATTCTATACCAGTGCTTTGGGTTAAAAATTCTTACTAGAGTTTTCCTCCGATCACAACTTCGAGGTTTTTGAAATTTACATGTGATAACGTGCAAGATGCGCCATACTTTGAAACTCCACCAACCCACTGGCATCAAGCGATAAATTAACCGGTTCCTAAGATGGTAGCCCTATAATGGCGGATAAGTAAAAGAAAAATACAACCATCTTAAAAACCAACAAAAAAAGACAATGAACTGACATCAAGGATTAGTTTTTCGTTTTGTGCATGAAAATTAAAATTGGTAAAATAACGACTTTAACTTAATTTAATTTAATACGTCAAAAGAGTAATAATCATAAAAATACAGATCTTTCTTTGCTTCTTTTCCACAGCTTTATTCTGCTTCTTCTCCATTGTTACCATTGCCTTTTCAAGTTATAATGCTTTCTTGCTTCCAACCCTAATAAAAAATAACCATAATAGAGAGCTTAACGACGTGTTCGGGGTATCATCAAAACCATTTGTGGGAAAGTTTACCCATCCGGGATAAAGTTCGTTCATGGTATTTGTTTATTAGGGAACTTTATTTGCTCTTCTTCCTTTTCTTCCTCCTATTCCTCTCTCGCTCAACCTTTTTCTTTTGTCGTTCCTCAACCCTTTGTTTCTTTGCGTTCTCTTTATCAATTTTCGCCCGCACTACTTTCATGTTTATTTCCGGTCATTCCTCGCTGGTAGCTACTGCTGGGAATGCTCCCTGTCCCATTTCTGTCTGCTCTCTGTAAGGAGCATCAAAAAATGACGTATCATATTTTTGATCAATTTTATACTCCTCCCCCCCTCGTAGCGTATTTGGCTATATCCAATACATGGCCGGTCACAAATTCTGAAACCCTCACCTCCCCCCTCAAATGCTACGTCATTTATGCATGGTCCCTAATTTGTATATGCGTGTTGGTGATATCCTGTAGGGGAGCTGCGTTGTTTTACTTTTTGGCTGGTTCTTGACGCTCTTCATTAAAAGATATTAATAATATAACCTTTACAATACGAATAAAATAAGAGAGTAGCGATTCAATACGGCATCTCTTATGGTGGTGAATTGAACGGCAAAATCCCTGGATGCTTCTTAGTAAGATTTCTCCGCACGCATCATTGCCATAGTCTTCTCCAAATCCTCCGGCATGTATTTAGTTTCCATGATCTGCTGAAAAACATTGGATAAAGTAGAATCGTCATTAGTGATGCACAAGTGTACGGATTTAGAATCAGCTGTTATATATGGATCGAAATCCGTACAGTACTAATTTTGATAAATAAATACCATATGAACGATCCATTGCTTAGAATTGAGATATAAAACGATAAACACTAACCTTTTCGATCGACCGTCAGGAAACTACTTGCAAACATCACTGAAATACGCTTAACAACCTGAAGTAAATCCGAGAGATTTTCTTAGAAAATCGTTAAGAACGCAACCGATTGACAGAAATGCCCGACACGTGTTAAGGTTTTTATTTTTCTTATTTTAATTGCATGACATTCTGCTTAATTGTTGACGTAAACATTAAGCTAATGTATGAATGAACATGAATATGTATTCATATATAATATTTACATTGTTATGATGCATATAAATAAACAAATTCAACAGGGTGTACGGATTTCGGTGCTGTACGGATTTCGGTCCCGCACGGTAGTGGCTTGTTATACCCGCTAACACCCAATTCCTTCGCCAAACTGCTTTCGATCATGGTTACGGACGACCTTCATCCAAGAAGGCGAACGATTCTACCGTATTGGGACTATTGTGCAGTGTAATCGGCAGGATACGGAACAGTAACGATGGAATGGATCCTTTGTTGAGGTCATACTGCACATGAGACTCGCTTGTTTGCCCCTTGCTCTTGGAAGCGGACACGCTCTACGCCCATGACTCGACAAACAGGTTCGACACAGTTGCAAGCTCCTGGACTTCTTCCAGCGATCTTCAACTGATAGAGCAAGGAAGGCCTTGCACTCCTTCACAGGGTGCCCTTCCCCTTCGCAGACCAAGCAATCCACCTTTCCGGTTTCATCGTGAATTAGATTCCAATCTCGCTGCTTTGGGCGGTCCTGTTTGTTGTATCGATCGAAAGTGGCGTTTGACACACTGTATGCATCGCCGACGATCTCCTCCATGAAATCATTGAATGTCTTCAGGTTTACTTCTCTTTGCTGCTTGCGATTTCCAGTCCATCGCATTCTATACTCGGCAGGGAGCTTTTCCACCAAATCCTTCAATAGGGTGGGGTTCACAAGGTGGTCGTAAAGATGTGCAGCAATAATAAAGTCATAGCTCATCCAGTTTTTGACGAATTTCACGGTTTAGTTGAAAACTACAAACTTCTTCTCCATGTTAATGCTTTATCAGCGAGATTTCTAGCCTTTGGCTAGTTCATCTAGAATAATCATGAAGTGATTTATATGCTCTGCAATCAAAGATGGTTATCACTGCTCAGTGGCAACATAGTCTAAACATATTGCTAATGTGATAGACTATTGCTACCAATTTACTGAGTATTTTGTACAGCTTACATATTTATTTTTTAACATGCCATTCAAAATGAGCAAACTTGTATATTTGACACATGGCTAACATATCATTTAATCGACAAGAGTCACATAACTGATTCTTGGTTACTCTTCCCCTTGCTTCTTCTTATTCTTCTTCGTCTATGTACTTTTTGGACTCCGGGGTCACCACGTTCATATTCACCATTTCTTCCTAGAGCACCATTTTGTCTATATATCCTTGTTCTTGTACAAAGCTACACTCCTGCTACCATACCCACGTTCTAACTGCTACCACTCAATTCTTCGTCCAGTTACTATTATGGCTGAAGAAATTATCCGGTTCTCCTCCATCTTGCACAAGAAACACTTGTTTCTGATCCCATCACAAAATATTCTCCCATTTCGATTGTGGGAGTTCCATGTCAAGACCCAGCTTCACAGATAATTAATCTCGGATTTTCCCAGCCCTAATGCTAGATCACGAGTCTGCTATCTAAAAATAGAACCGAATGGTTAATTGGAAATGAAATTTTCCAGTCCTGGCTCTGAGTTATCGAAGTTAAGCTTTCGGAACCAAGTTTAGAGGTACATAACGTATATAATATAAAGCAATATATTATATATTATAAGCAATAGATTATTAGATTTTATGCCTAACGGCCATTGTGCCCAACGACATACGGACCGTCTAACGTAGTAATGTCTGATGGGATATAAGTACACACATGAAATGCTAGCTGAAGCAAACTGAAAACCGAAGCGAAGAAAAATCAAAAATATTATCATCATTAATATTATGGTCAATGCTTCGCCTTCCTATCAATATATTGATAAGTTTAACGTGGGCATTAAACGAGTTAATGTTTGATACGAATGGAATTATTATAAGATTTTGAACTTAAAGCCACTTTAAGGCACTTGAGCCATACGACCCACCAAGTGATAGCCCAAGGCACATGGGGTGGGTCACGACCCATATATTGAGAAACGCTGCTCACTGTAGTTTACGGACAGTCCCTTTGCATCTGGGAAAAGGGAACTTATGAACACGGCCATAAACCTTCCACCCGTAGTTTGAGGGAGTTTTGTGAAGGGATCATCTATCGTCGTGTACATTAGCGGCGGCGGCGATGGTGGGAAAAAGACGGATGCTCTCCCGCTGCTGTCTGAGTAAATAATTTTCGCTAATGCTGGCCGTATTAGAACATCACTTAAATTGGATTTGTAAACACTCGATGCAAACACGAGTGTTCGAGCATAATTTGCTCTCAATAGGAAAGCGAGAACCTTAAATAAATGGAAGGGGCGACGGCGACACTCATCACGCTTACCTACCTTCCTATCTATATGCGTCAGGAAACTACCGTAGAGAAGAGGGCGAGTATAATGTTTTATCTTCTTCGCTTCCGCAGGTGGCAGCGGCCAGGTTCACTCCCTCTCGTGGCACCGGAAAGGTGATCGCAACGCTAATGGTCGCTATTTCGCACGGATCTGGCGACCGGAGGATCCTCGAAGCAATCAACGGAACATCGCAGCTGGCCCCTCGTCATACTCCAATGGGTTGGTTTAGGGTACCGAATTGAATGCCGGATTGTGTTATACTGCAGTGCAAATTATTCCCCATTCGAATTTCGAACGGATGATTAAGGATGAAAATCAATGAATGTGAAAAACAGTTCTAGTCGTTCCTTTGGATCTCATTTCTATGTTGATATATTGTAAATAAACTTTCTTTACTGAAAAATAACATCATTAGAGTCGCATCATTAATTAGTATTAAGGAAAGAAAAATCAGTAAATCATTTCGGCAAACAGTTTAAAATGAGGAAGAGTTAATTTTCACGCGTGTCCAACAGGATTCCTTGTGGCTCGCCAACTGGTAAGCAATTACTCCACGGGATTTTCTACTGGTAAGTGTACAGGAGAGGCGCAGTCTGTTTCGTTCCTCCCCTAGTATTTCATAATCGAACATTAAAAAAGAGCATCACCTGAATAAACACTGTCGGAACGGTTGGTATGTTTAGGGAGAAGAGTTTGTTATTCCGCTCCTGACTGCTTGAATAACTTTGCAGATCGATTATTCTTTTAAAAACATAAATTCTGTAACTGAAATTCAGCCACAATAAGAGAAATGTTCGAAATTAAATTTTTATTTTAGATTCAAATAACCATATTTTATCGATAACGATATAACGATAACGATATTTGGATAAAACTAATCCTGGATTGAAAAACAAGTTTTAATTTCCTGGCAGCGGAAAAAAAACAATCAACGCTTCACAGAAATACCCCTCCGGAATGGCTGCTAAGTCGCACGTGAATAAAAATTCACGCGAAACGGTGATTTTAATCTTTGCACTCAATTGAGGCAATTTTAATTCCATTCATCAGGAATTAATTTAAAACCGTCGGATTACTTCAAGTTGCCCTAAGAGGGGTGATGCGTTTTGATGATCTACTATACATATACCAATCCTACTCTACTCGACTGTGGTACGCACATTTGGGGTTAAATTATCCACCCTTCATTCAGGAATTTATTTTGGTATGGAAGCATTGCTGATAAATTGGTGAAGCTCAGGGGATGTTCTGTTTATTTTCAATTGTTTAATTTTTTACCTTTTAAGGGAGATAGGTGATAAACCACAGACGAACAGACATAACTGCGAACAAAATATATTGGACTACATCAATCTTCCATTTTTATGCTGAGTCATTAGGCCGAACGGTCATCAGGCCCAATGGTCATCCGGTCGAATGGTTACTAGGCCAAATCTCGTATCACTTAGCGAAGAAAATTTGCTGGTCTTAAAAAGATAACAAACCGCTAGAAATAGAAGGATACATAAGGCTAGTCCATTTTAAACACAAAGTTCCGTCTTATGTCCGAAAAAAGAAGGAAAAACTACTATTGAAAATCCTAGCCAAAGTAACTTCGAAAAGAATTATCAGCTTTTAAAAGAAGGAAAAATAATGTGAGTACAAATTTTGTTCATGATGCTAAAAATCACGAAAACCATGACTAAAACAGTAAACCAAAGAGGTAACTCTAAGACTAGTAGGTCCCGAAAAAAACGTGCTCAACTTTTTGGCTCAGCTCTAGTACTATCTTCGGTCCTAAGATAATCGATGCACCTCTCGATACATAGGAAAATCCTCGAACCCCTCATTTTATCAGTCAGACTTTCATAGCAAATCAAAACAAACATTGTGGAGTACTAGAATTTTGACTAGAATGGGGTACGTTAATCGATTTGATTGGGACCAATAGACTAGTCAAGTAGTGAGCCAATTTAAAATCTTTAGTTTCCACCGTTTGGTAAAACTCTAAAGAACTGTGCATGTTTGAAATTAATTAAAAACGTTATATTTTGCTATCTTATCAAATTAACAAACCTGAATTTTCGAAAGTTCAGTGCATATATAAAACTCTTCAATATCGACAAAAAAAAAGCTACAAGTTACATACATAGATTGGTGTGAGAAAAGAACGAGCAGCTTTTTAAAACAAGGAAAAATAATGCGAAAGAAATGCTCATATTTGAAAGAAAGAATCATGCAATTCTCTGCAAATTTAGCAAACGACTATACGGGACCTACTGGTCTACCTCTATGACTCTACCCTCTCCGGTTTGGATGAAACTTTCAACATGTCTTCGGTATGAAAAATCATATCTTAACGTAGGATTGGCAAAATATTGGGGATGCAATTTAAAAAAAAAAACCAAAATCGACCGCATTACGAAAAGAGGTCAGGTTTTGACCACATATAACTCTGTCAATAGTAGATGGATTTTAATTCTAAGCAAGCCAAACGATTGGAAATTTGTCTACCAATCTGCTAAAATTAACACTTTATTAATTTCCAATAGGTCACTATTGAAAAATACACAAATGTCCAACTGTTGCAATGATGATCAAAATGATCACCGATTGCCTGCAAACAGCGCATTCCCTAACACAAATTAAAAAATCGAATTCGATCCTGTCTCACTTTACGATACTACAGGTTGATAGTCTTAAATCGGTCCATTAACAATCGAGAAACAACCATTTTCATGGAATTTGTTCTGGAAAAGTGATCTGTAAAGGTGGAAGGTTGTCACATCTGCTCACAAGTTGTTGTGTTGGAGTATCGAATTTTTTATTCATCCCTGTGGACGCTACTAATATGTTTAACCACCACATGTACGATGTAGCAAGCTGATATACTAACTCGTCAATAGAGACTGTGGTCAGTTCCCATTCTGCTGTCGCTGGGTAAAGACGAACAGCGTTACTCGCAAGTCGTGCTTTGTGTGTTGTACAACGTAACCATGACGACGACGGTGCAAGTCTGGGGTCGGTGCTGCAACGGTGAAGTGGAAATCATCTATTACGATGAGAAGTACCGTGAACAGTCGATGGATGTATTGCGGAAGTCTTTCTTTCTGAATGAAACTGTTTGCATTGGATCGGAAGTGAATCTCGACCCGCAAGCGCAACTTGATTTGGAGCAACTTTGCCTAGACGTGGGCCGCAGCGGGACGTCACTGATAGCAAGACATGTGCCTAGTAACCGTATCGTTGGAGTTTCATTCAACGTGCTGCAAGTGAGCAGTGATCAATTGAAAATACTACCTTATCGTTAACTTGAAATGAACCGCTAATGATTTGCATTTTTCAGACACCTAGCGCACCGGGTGACCTCAACTATTTCGAGTCATTCCGCGACGATCATTGCATCTCGGAGAGTTCTAAGAGCCTCATGCAGTACATGATTACAATGGATTCAAAGGTGAACCTGTTTGAGAAGTTCAATATTGATTGCCTGTTTGAGATCATGTTTCTAGCCACGCTTCCTGAATTTGAAGGAAAAGGCATCGGCTCGGCTCTGGTATCCTGTTCCATCGAATTGGCCAAACTGTTGAAAAATGGTCAGGCCATAGAGAATCTCCCAGATGACTCCAAGCACAAGCGACCTAAAATGGTGTCAGCACTGTTTACATCGAGAATTTCACAGAAAGTGGGCTCGAAAAATCACTTCAAGCAAATAAACGAAGTTCCACATTCGGAGTTTGTATTCCACGGTAAAACATACACCGATCGCATTGGACCGGAGCATCCCACATCGATACTGGTAGTGAAAGAAATCTAACGTGATAATATATACATGTGTATAGGGCAATGGCCCATGTGATAAAGAGGTGCACGTATTAGTGTGCAAAGAGAAACGCTCATCTCTCAAAAACAAACATTGTAGGTGCAGATGACTATGTGCTAATGATAACAGTTTTGGCAGTTTTTTTTTGGCAAAGCATGATTCAGACTAACAATTCTGTAAAATATCAGAAAGTGAAATTTAAAATACGCCTGAACTAAATACAAACATTGCACAAATAAATTACTTCATTTTCTTTTCCTCTCAAACTCTCCCTAGATGTTCTTGACATTCAACCTATTTTGATGAACAATTAACGTTTAGTTAACCAAATGATGGGACTATGGGCTTTTGCATATTATTCCTACGACCACAGTGTTTAAAAAAAATACCTGTGCAGTATAAGCAATTTGTAACACTATGTGTAGAGAGATAGATTTCTGAACTCTTGCCTGCAGGATTATCAAATATTTATTGATTTATATAATTGTTTTGGGCTTTATTAGCTGAGCATGGAGTATGAGCGGTTTTGGTAAAACGCTCGTGTTGTAGCTTGTTTAGAAGTGAATGGAATTTAGTAAAATTTAAAAAAAAAACATTTTCTCTTTATTTTTATTATTTAGAGAATTTGTTTCGTGTACTTCAAGAAATAGTACTTAAAAAGGAACTTTACTAAAATTTCCTAAACTTAATACACAATCGCCAATCGAACTAATAAATCTTAAGAACTAATTATACCCATAAATCTTGAATTCTTAGTCCTATGTTTCAGAAATCTATCTATCTAAAGTGTGCCCATTAGGCTGATGCAATATTTGACATTTTCACTCCACAGTGCTCAACGGTTCCAAATCGGGTCCTGATTAGCCTCCCAAATTTGAACTTATTCGGTAAGAAACTGATATGGTACAAACCATTTGAAGTTTATAATTAAATTACTATGGGAACACCAAATGTTTTGTTCATTTCCATCTAACAATTCGCCATATCGCTTTGCTTTAAACAATGATAATAAAGCTCATAGCCAATTTTCTCAGCTACAACTTTGTTGAAGACCACTTTTCGACATAATGTAAGCATCAAAAGTTATTAATGATTCAAGCCACTAATGTCTTATAATTATGCTCAATCAACAGCAGGCAACATTGGTGTTTCTGGCGCGAAGAATAGAGCACTAAAATCATGGCTACTATGTCACACTGCAGCATACAGTGTTGCCCACAAAACAGCTTCTTGATCATGCCATAAGATTGTCAATCTCTTAAACAATTAATAACTATTTTAATTGAAGTTTGGCTTAAAACCTTTATTCTGAAAAACCTTAGCTCTTTCATAAGAATAGCTATAGAACTTTTGAACAGTGCAATATGGAAAAAGGCTAGAAGATAATGATCAAACAGTTTGGATTTCCCATAGTAATTGGAGGCGAACCAGCCTCAGGCTGAAAGCTTCCTTAATAAAGATAAATCAATCAATTCCCATAGTAATTTCCGTATAAACAGTGATAACATTTAAACAAAACTAGCAACACTGTTATATTACTACACGGATAGAAATTCACTTATACCTTTTGGCAAATTTCTATTGCTATATAAGTCAACTTATAAGCAGATGCCTTGCAAAAAAGTTTATGAAGATCATGTATCAAATGAAAAGTATAAATGGTCACACATACTGTTTATGCATTCATATAAGACCTATGTGGTTTGTCTTATGGAATGTATAAGTGAACACATGAATAAAATAATGAATTTTCGTTTCGTGAATCATTGTTTACATTTCGGTTGACTTTCAGAAACAAAAAGGTGTCTCAAACAACTGAATTTGGATTCGTTCAGAAACATTTTCACATTTAAGCTAAGTTCAAGGTCAAGATAGAAACAGTATACTTCGTTTTTCAATCTAAACTCAACTGGAAAAACTGAGTGGGGTTGGGGAAGACTATGGGAGTGGTTAGTCAAAACCTGAGTCGTGAAGCATAATGTTCCAGATAGAAAGGGATTACTCTGGTTGTGGCTGATATCATTGGTGGTGGTCAGTGCGTTTGTCGATCGCAGATCACAATGCTGGAGCAAAGCGTTCCGCAAAGATACTTCCGCCGAAAACGTTTAATTTGATTTGGTAGGGGTACAATCCGATCAGTCGATCACTTTTCCCGGGGTCATATTTGGCTATTGCGATAGCCAAATAGCGATAACGATATGAATGTGTTTCAGAATGAAATAAATGTTTTTTACAGATGGTGTAGTAAAAGTTTATTGAAACTAAATATCAAAAAATGAAATCTTATAACGTACAGTAGAAAACTAAACAAACAAAATCTTTGTATTACATTAGGTAATGAAAATGTTCAAAAATGTGAAAATGTAAGAGATTTAGGTGTTATTCTAGATTCTAAATTGACATTTGTGGACCATTATAACACAATAATACATAGAGCAGGCAATATGCTTAATTTTATAAAACGTTTCGGTCTCCACTTTAAAGATCCTTATACAATTAAATCACTTTACGTTGCTTATGTGAGGTCAATTTTAGAATATTGTAGCGTTGTTTGGTCACCCTATATGAAAAAGCATGAAGAACTAATAGAGTCAATTCAAATGCAATTTTTATTATATGCATTACGTAAGTTAGGTTGGACGGCTTTTCCTCTCCCGTCATATGAAGCACGTTGCTTGCTGATCAGCATTCAAACATTGAAAGAATTTCGGGATTACGCAAAGATTTCTTTATTAAACAATATCATTTCGCAACGCATTGACTCAGCTGATCTATTGTCAAGGTTAAATTTGTATGCACCTTCCCGACAATTACGCAATCGACAGTTGTTCGCAGTAGATCGCCATCGGACCAATTACGCTAAATTTGGACCGGTAAATCAGATGATGACTGTTTATAATCATCATTGTGAAATGATTGACCTAAATATGCCCTCAACAGAATTAAAAATATATTTCAGAACCCTGCGAAGTCATAGAACATAAGTCTTAAGGTGATACGATACGTCACGCTTTTTTTTCTCTCCTTTCTATGTGTCAGTGAATTGATTATCATTGATGCTGTAGTGGTGTGAGTGTACATCATGCACTACCGCAACTACCGTAAACATAGCTGCTAGAGTTCGTTATTATTAGGTCGAATGTGGAACAGTTGAAAAAAAAATTTAGAAAGGCAAAGAATAAGTTATGTCCATTTTACTGTAAATTTCAACCTTCGTCATTTTTAAAAAGACAAAGATATCTCTTTATCATCCAATATTGAGACTATCACTACATTTCTATTCAATTTGCCAATATTATCGACCTACTACCTCCCAGGACACCCCTACCTATACAGAACATAATTATGCACCTAGCCACCAAGACCAACAGGTCAAGTCATCATAGTAGTTAATTGATTCAACATCACACTTTGTACACTTTGGTTACATACGACCTGTCCAAAAGTGATTCCAGAGCTCAAAACTCCAGGTACACGGTAAGAAAAAATATCCCAAAGTGACTCATTTTGACAAATCTCGGCACTATATTGCAGGAAGCCAAAAGTAGGTAATGTGAGTCGAAGAGTTTTCATTTTAATGTGTTCAATTTGTGTGGAATTGACAATTCACTTCTACCCAAAAATAGTTAGTTGTACCCAAAAGTAGGTGAATATGATTATACTCCACGTGATTATACTCAAAGTTAAAAGTAGGCAAAAATGAACTGGCCGACGGATATTATTTCTTATCGTGTAAATTTTTGTTTTCGAATCATCCTTTTGCCGCCTTTTGCATATCAGCTGATGGCTTCGAGCAGTGCAACCAAAACAACATATATGTTTTCTATAGAAGATTTCTAGGTTCATTTACTTGCTTTTCTTGCCTTGAGAAACAAAATAAGAAATTGTTTTAAACATTTATTAGTAATGGTTTCTAAATTGAACACAGTTTAAGCACCTTAAAAAGCAATAAAACCATTGTTTTTAAACACTTTGTTACAATTAAATCGACAATACTGGATAGGATGATAAATGATTCGTACGCACACCTTCGTAATGCGGTGTGTAGAAAAAAGGTAAACAAAACAGTTCCAGCTTGCAAAATTATTCGCGGCTCGCGTTTTTAACGATGCAAATGATATTATTTAAGTAAATGTCGTCTTTAAAAGTGAATTAACTTGAAAGTGCTTATAGAAGCACGCGTCGTAATTGTTTTTAGTGTGGTTTTGAGAAGTGAAAGCTAGTGAAAACAGTTATTGAAATTTCATGCCCTGAGCAGAACAAAATTGGCTGATCGTACTTTTTAACGCAAATATTACCAATGCGTGAATGAATTGGCAATATTTTGATGGAAAAGTATTGAAATATGTATCCAGAACTTATTCATACAATTCAGGCCCATTTTTTAAGGTATGTACTTAGTAATTTACTGTTTTGTAGGAAGATGTGTTTCGCACGCATACCAAAACACGTTTATTTAATGATTGTAGGGACAGCCATTGTTGCATGACGTGCCGTATCACCTTAATGTTAATATGTAGTCTACTATTTGATTGATTGACGAATAAATAAATAAATAAATATTGCTTTTATCACAAACGAAATTTATGATATTGGGAGTCGTTCAAACTTCCCACACAATCGCTTTTCATCGTTCTCTACGCATTTCCTCGAACTCAAAGCAACAATGTGGTAGTGTCCGATCATTTCACGATCTCGCAGCCTACTTTCCCCGGCTCCCTGGCAGCGTCCTCCCCTGTCCTTATCAATTCCACTAGCAAGCAGTCGAAATTGAAGCAAAGTTTCGTAGCAATTCCAGTCACGTGCTGCTTCGAATCCGTTTCAAAACATTCGAGCTATTAGAAATACCGGGTTGCCAAGCATACCCAAATGTTCACAATTGTCTAAAAAATACAGTCTGTACAATTCGTAATAAAAATTGTATGGTTAATTTGCTTAACGACGTGTTCGGGGTATCATCCAAACCACTATAAACGTTTTATGTAAATTTCTAACCATATGGGGGCCAATTAGTATACCCAGGTGTGCCCATATTGTGCCGAATCTGTTTTCGGCACACTGTGCCGAGTGACCCACCCCTTGTTAATCACTTTTTGGATATGCATCCAAAACATGTAAAATTTTCACAGTTCATTGAACTTTGTGAATAAACAAATTCTATCATAATTATTAATTTTTTAGATATTTTGTTCAGGTTGATTGAAGCTGAAAGCTCAGTTAGCGGAGACTTGATCCCCCAAGGATTACACTCACTTAAATCTAATATTTGAGTGTAAACAAATTAAAACTCTGTTTGGATATACCTGTTGACCGACGTTAAATAAAGGGAAAAAAAGTATAATAATGTCTAATTAAACCGTTACTTCACATGAGAAACAAGCGTGTACAGAGCATTACTGTTTTAAGGAAGCAGTGATGTCTAAGAAATGCTGAATAATCAAAAAAGTTATCGAATAAGCTCCGTTACAACTCATGTAATTCGAATAAAAGCTTCTCGACATACCTTATACAACCCCAATGTTGTGGTTGAATAAATTCTCCAGATTTATGTCAACAAAGCCTTAACAGAAGTTATTATTAAAAATAATACAAGTATTATTAAGCATGCAGTTGAATAAAATCGTCAAGAAGTCGTTACTTGAATAGACGATTGATTCTTGGGAATGTTACTGTATTCTAAATCATCACTTTCTAAAAGTATTGCTAAAACTTGTTGAATCATAAATATCAACTGGTTTAGTGAGCAAAATCTACCATCTCTTTTGTTCTTTTACTTTTCAATACAACAGCAAATGTGACATCACACATGCACGTATATAAGAATGTCGTAGACAAAACATTCACACTGCCAGACCACTGTATGACATTTTGTTTACACCTCTGAGCGGGAAAGCCAATAACAGGCTACATGCAATGCTGCCACCTCCCCTGTTTGTGTTTAATTCAATCTTTTTTTACCTATGTAATTTAGTAATAACGTTTAAGTTCCAAAAAATTATTTTAGCTTTATTTATACAGTTTTTAATATTTATACACCATTAAAAACATCCACTCATCTAAGTTATAGGTTAAAACTTCGTATTTGCATGTTTTAATAAACTTATATTGACTGCTAGAGGTAATACATCTGGCAACGCTTGTTCAATGATTATTTTACGTTCGCTAGCAAAGAAGTGGAGTCGAAGTGATTTGTGTTTTATTTTGTTCAGCAAGAGATTTGACCTCCAGTTTATATTAATTTTGTGTATTTGATTACGTGAAATTGTGGAATTCTACGAAGAACACAAGTAAGCAAATGCAGTGATGGTGTTTTACCCAGAAAATATACGATGTAAAATCATGAAATACATGCTTTAAATTTTCGGATGGCTTGTGTGTGTATACACATACTAATGATGATGATTGAAGAATATTTAAAAAAAAACAAGAAGAATCCAAATTGATTGACTGTGTCTTGAACCTTAAATGACATGCAATTTGAACCTCTGAGATATCAAAGTAAAAGTGCCAGAAAACCGTATGCATATACGCGCAACTATACTTATAATTTACCCAAATGAGCAAACGTTAGAGAAGTATATACCAATATCCAACCCTGTTAGCATCACGGTCGATGAGATTGACTCAAAATTGAGGGGTTTTCATTCAAAATATCTAAAACGTACACGCTTACAAATACCTAATCTTACACGTGACGGAATCCATCTTTGACATGAAGGATGAGATGTAAACACACATGTCATGTAAAAATAAGTGCCCCGAGACTGAAAAGTTCGAAGGTACGTTTGATTGAGCTGAATTTCGCGTTTATTATGACTCAATTATCAATTTATTCTCATATTCGAAAAGATTTTCCTGGAAACTCATGGAAAATTTTACTCAGGGGATCCAAGGGAGGCGTCACATCTAAATCTCAATTCTAGATCCTCGAAAAATCTCACACTAGTAAATCAATCTACAAAAAATCTTCTTTCATTTCTCGCATCTTGCATCATCTTTTTGCAGGAAATCTTCAGAATCGTCATCAATCTCTTTCTATCTACTCAACGTAATAAACAAATATCTGAATATTTTCAAAATTAACCTAATCGAACTATTTATGAGGATGAGGTTTGTCAGTATTGTATAAAAAATTATGGCTGAGCACATTGAGTATCAAACACTTAGATATAGCATATCAAATAAGGTTGGTAAAAAGTACGTTCAGATATCATGTAATATACGCTATATTTATTAGGATGGTTCAAAATATCGATTTAGCTCGATCATGTTCAATCGATTTCAAATCAGGTCCTGATAATTATCCCAAAGTTTGAGCTCATTTGGATGTGAGTACTCAAATTCCCTTTTCTCATTTTAATTCCCATACAAACTTCAAAGGGCCAGTGCAGTATGAGTTCACATTCAAATGAATTAAAACTTTGAGGGAATTATCAGATCCTTATTTAGAATCGATTGAGCTTGGTAGAGCGAAATCGATATTTGAAACTACCCTAATCTTTATATTACATATGATTTCCGGTGAAAATTTTCCGTACAAGTGACCATTGCAAGACAACCTATATTACGTGGTATCAGCTATGGTGTAACCGTACTATTATTACTGTAGTGCAGCGTTTCTCAATCAATGGGCTGCGCTCAGGCGGGTCGCAGAAATTCAGACAACTTGGTCATGGTGGTTTGAATTTCGTGAAAAGTTTATCAGAATTAATGTTGGGATAGTATAAAGTAAGCTGCAGAATTGAATAATTGAAGCATTATTTTTAGGAGTTTCAATGTCAGTTTTTGTTGTAAATAGGTGATTTGGGCGTTTTTATGATAGCATACAGGCCATTTTGTCAATTGAATCATTGACTGGCCATCTTAACGTTTCAATATTATTATGACGGTTATCGCTTTCAAGATTATTTTGAGAGCTTCTTAGCCGTTTTATGATTTAAGGCCCTTTTAGCGTTTTCAAAGTAATTCTAGGATATTTTAGTATATTAAAGACATTATGGTAATTATAGGCTAGATCACAGTGGTTGTTAGGCCATTTATAGTGTTTTTACGTTATAATGGTTAATTCTGGGCATATTCAAGATTATTTTGCCGGTGTCCAAGACCTTTTTGAAATCCATTTTTTCATCGCTGTAAGTAGGCCCGGAGTTTCGTCATTTAATTGTTTTGAGGTAGGGCTTTTGTAATTAGCTTTTCGAGCCTAGTTTGCCGTTTTTAAGTCTTTTGAATGTCATTATGTTTTTGAGTTATGGAAATCATGTCTTGATGGCTTTTTTGTGAATTTTTAAGCCAATATTGAAGTTTTATAAACATTTCGGTTTTATAAAATCTGCATTCAATATTGGTGGGTCGCGAGTCTAGGTAATTTTTCAAAGTGGGTCTCAATTGACATAAGTTTGAGAACCGCTACTGTAGTGGCAGGAGCACCTTCTGTGTTACCTGACGCATAACGAATATATGTTGCAGCCGCGGGATGGTATACCTCGTCTAAATTTACGTTCATTACGCTATGTTCAATAAGACGCCCCAGTATTGGCCATGTTCATATTTTGGCTACCTTTTGACGATATTTCACGTTGTTTACAATTTTGAAATGTTCAGTTGCGTTCAGTTTGTTGGTACAAAACATATTCATCGGTGTACATAAACATTTCGACCACAAAATGCACGAATATTATCATTTAATCGGTTTTCTAAGGTGTGGCCAAAATAGGAACCTATGGCCAATACTGGTGCACTTTTCTTATTCGTTTTTAATCAGGTAACACAATAGAAAAAAATGAATGTAAATTAAAAATTGATACAAATAAAGAAAAAAAAAGGTTAAAAATGCACGTTTTCTACCATTATTTCAACATTTTTACAACCCTATGAAACAGTAATTTAAGAGCAGACCCATCTAGTGGCAGGAATATAACATTTATAGTTTTGCTCTTCCCAGCAAATCCAGATGGTAAGCGAATTTCAACTTCACGTTTCAACGATGCCCGTTTGTCACTTCTTTCATTCTATGTAGTCGCTTTACATCTTTCGATCTCCAATATTCATAACACATTTCGTGCTATATGTCCCATTATATATAGGGACTTTTAGTTACCATTATTTTGTCATCGTTTTCTAAACAATCATTAAAGTGAAGTCTTGTTCTATCGGTCAAATAGTAGCCGTAAAAGTGATTCTAGCACTAGAGAAAAGCATTTCCAGATAGAAAATTTTGCCATCTCCCGAACTACACTCGGAAGATACATACACGGAATACTTCTGGCAGTTTACGAGTCATGCGCATTGTGTATTAACTAGAATACTGAGGCATATGCTTATATCGAGGGCCTGCCCGGTAGTCAACAGAGCGCTTTACCAATAATTCATTACCATGGAAATGTTACTACGTACACAGTTAGTTCAATAGACTGATTTATGGTAGCGAGCAACCGAGTACGTGGATCTATTTGCAATTCTTGAACAATCAACCTCTGTGTGGATCAAGATGTTACCAGCCTATCCTCGGATGATATTTAACATATTCAACTTATTCTACCTTCTAACGAGGCCTCTATTGAAGTGGCTCCTACATCGTTTCACAAGCTTGTGTGAATTACAACGGATTTGTTATGGATGTGCGCCAGGAGCTGTACGAACCAAAAAGGTTCAGACGTCGTTAGAACTCTCTAGACGACCGAAGATCAAGCAAATGATTGTGATTCTAAACGAGCTGGTCAACCGAGATGTTGATGAATACTTCTTGTTTGAAGAAATTCATAACCGAGCTGTTGGAACGGTTCTTCAAGTAAAGAAAATAAATCCCAAGGTACACGTTGATTTCCCGAGGACATTTGGTGTTTGTGCTGAAAAGATTTGGAGCTACAAAAGGTTGTTTTGCTTGGTGGAACAGTTGAGAAGCACACAGTACGATAGTGAGAATCCTGAGCACGAACAAAAATTGCTAACTCTGTGGAAGCTACTGATGGCAGAAGATGAGCAACTGGAGAATAGAATTTCCAATCAGTGGCAAAACATTGGATTTCAGGTAACTGGGAACTATACCACAATGTTCAACGATTCTCATTCAAACTCAATTTCCAGGGAGACGATCCAAAAACTGACTTCCGTGGTATGGGCATTCTCGGTTTGGACAACCTAGTATTTTTCGCCCGTGAGTACAACGGAGCTGCTCGACATCTTCTGTCCCACTCTCACCATCCAACGCATGGCTACTTTCTGGCTATCGTTGGTATCAACCTCACATCCATGGCTTATCACCTTCTGAAATCAGGCCTGGCGCGAACCCATTTTTACAATCAGCCTAGATTATCAATTGAATCGTTTCACCACTTTTATTGTTATTTGTTTTTCGAATTCGACCGCTACTGGGTAGAATGTAAGCCAAAAAGCATTATGGACTTTAGCTGGATACAGAAGAAGTTTGAGGAAAACATCCGTAAGCTGCTAGCCAGTGATAGTTGCAGCTTTAAAATGAACCTGTTGATAGAAAATATATAAAAGAACTAAGGAAGCAGTGCAATTTTGTGAACCGTTTACTGGGCTTTAGTTTAGTAATATCGAATTAGAGATTTTATGTGAAAACATAGTTGTGTGATTTAGTTGGTATTCTAGCAAATGCTTGCCTTAACAGTTGATAATAAAAGAAAATGGCAAATACTTAACTGCATCATTGTTTTCCTTTAACCCTTTCGGGACCAATTGTTGTGTGTACACTTTCTAAATAACGGGCTAGATTTAGCCCAACTTCGAGTTGCTAGTTTTAGAAAAGTGCTGTTTTTTGGTCGAAACCTTGCATAGCTTATGAAGTATTGAAGATAGACTTACTTCCGAAAACAAAATGTTGTAAGAAACGTGCACAACGACGAGAAATTGCCACCACAAATTATTGATTTTTAGAAGTAACCATACAAAAATCTTTCATGACTTAAAAAATATAAGGGATAGAGAGTTGATGACTTCTACAAAAATGCTTGCTTAAATGTCAAGTCTAATCTAATCTAACACCAATACAGCCAGGTCTTAAAAGTCTATTTGTATCAGAGATACACAACACATATAAAAAGGGCCAGGCCCACTAGTAGGGATTGAAGGGGTAAGATGATTAAAAATATCGGATATGTTTGAAACTAAGATTTAAACACGATGCTTTAGAATCCAACAATAAATGGTTGGAACGTTGACATCTCGTACCGCACGTTTATGTAATTTATTTATCATCATAATCCATTGGCCATAATTGAAAACTCTATGACATTACTGCGAACGCTTTTTTTTTTTTTTTTTTTTTTTTTTTTTTTTTATTTTTTTTAACTCTTTATTTGTTCCAAATTCAAAATAAATTACATTTCATTTTAACCTAGGTGCTCCAGTTACTGCAGTAACGTACCAGCCTTAATTGTTATGATATATATCTAAGTGTTTTTACATTGTTCATGTCTTGGCAATTCAGTATTTTAAACAGGTTTTTTAACCTGCATGTCAGTATAACAATTGATATCTTAAAACTAAAAACTAAAACTAAATCTTATCTAAGTAAAAAGGGAATTAATCGTTGCAATTGAGGATTGCAACGATTTTTGCCTGAAATTATTAATTATTTTGTTGGACATTTGTGCTAAAGTCTCAACATTCGAAATTCTATGTACTTCGGTTGTACTGTACCAGGGAGGCAACTTCAAAATCATCTTCAGAATTTTGTTCTGAATCCTTTGAAGTGCTTTTTTCCTGGTAGTGCAGCAACTAGACCATATTGGCACAGCGTAAAGCATGGCCGGTCTAAAAACTTGTTTATATATTAGAAGTTTATTCGTCAGGCAAAGTTTGGATTTCCTGTTTATAAGAGGATACAAACATTTTATATATTTGTTACATTTGGCTTGAATGCCCTCAATGTGATCTTTAAAAGTTAATTTTTGGTCAAGTATTAATCCAAGATATTTCACTTGGTTTGACCAGGAAATTGGAACTCCGTTCATAGTGACTATGTGACTACTACTAGGTTTCAAAAACGAAGCTCTGGGCTTGTGTGGAAATATTATAAGTTGAGTTTTGGAAGCGTTGGGAGAAATCTTCCATTTTTGTAAATAAGAAGAGAAAATATCTAAACTTTTCTGCAGTCTGCTGCAAATAACACGAAGACTTCTTCCTTTAGCGGAAATGCCTGTGTCATCAGCGAACAAAGATTTGTGGCAACCCTGAGGCAAATCAGGGAGGTCCGAAGTAAAAATGTTATACAATATAGGCCCAAGAATGCTACCCTGAGGAACTCCTGCTCTAACAGGTAGTCGATTAGATTTGGAATTTTGATAATTTACCTGCAGAGTTCTGTCAGTTAAATAATTTTGAACTAATTTCATAATATAAAGTGGAAAATTAAACTTTTTTAATTTAGCAATCAAACCTTCATGCCAAACACTGTCGAATGCTTTTTCTATGTCTAGAAGAGCAACTCCAGTTGAGTGGCCTTCAGATTTGTTTGAACGAATTAAATTGTTAACTCTTAAGAGTTGATGAGTAGTTGAATGCCCATGGCGAAATCCAAACTGCTCATCTGCAAAAATTGAGTTCGTATTGATGTGAAGCATCATTCTATTCAAAATTATCTTTTCAAAAAGTTTACTTATTGAAGAAAGCAAACTTATTGGACGGTAGCTAGAAGCTTCAGCTGGATTTTTATCCGGCTTCAAAATTGGAACAACTTTTGCATTTTTCCATTTATCAGGAAAGTATGCCAAATGGAAACATTTGTTAAATAATTTTACCAAGAAAGACAAGGTACTCTCTGGGAGTTTTTTGATGAGGATATAGAAAATTCCATCATCACCTGGAGCTTTCATATTTTGAAAATTTTTAGTTATAGACCTTACTTCGTCCAAATCAGTCCCCCAGGAATCATCAAAAATATTTTCCCGAGAGAAAATATTCAGAAAATCTCGAGCAACCTGATTCTCAATAGGACTAGTAAGACCCAAACTGAAATTATGGGAACTCTCGAATTGCTTAGCAAGTTTCTGAGCTTTTTCCAAATTTGTGATCAAAATTTTACCACCTTCTTTAAGCGCTGGAATAGGCTTTTGAGGTTTTTTCAAAATTTTTGTGAGTTTCCAAAAGGGTTTGGAACTCGGGTCTAATTTAGAAATATTATTTTCAAAAGTTTTGTTCCTCAGGGCAGAGAATCGCTTTTTAATTTGTTTTTGCAAATCCCGCCAGATAACTTTCATGGCAGGATCGCGTGTTCTTTGATATTGTCTCCTACGGACATTTTTAAGACGGATCAAGAGCTGAAGATCATCGTCTATTATAATTGAATCGAATTTAACCTCGCATTTTGGTACTGAGGCAGCTCTTGCTTCAACTATAGAAGTAGTCAGAGATTCAAGAGCATAATTAATTTCATCTTTGGTTTGCAAAGGAATGTTTGGATCGAAGTTATATTCCATAAATGTTCGATACTGCTCCCAATCAGCTCTATGGTAATTGAAAGTAGAGCTGTTGGGATTAGAAATTATTTCTTGGGATATTTCAAAAGTTACTGGAAGGTGATCAGAACCGAAGTCAGCATGGGTAACCAATTGGCTACAAAGTTGACATGAATCAGTTAAGACCAAATCAATAGTGGAGGGATTTCTTGCAGAAGAAAAGCATGTTGGGCTGTTTGGATATTGAATAGTGTAATAACCTGCAGAACAATCATCAAACAGAATATTACCATTGGAATTGCTTTGAGCATTATTCCATGAGCGGTGTTTTGCATTAAAATCACCAATAATGAAGAATTTAGACCTATGACGGGTAAGTTTCTGGAGGTCACCCTTGAGAAAATTCTTTTTCTGGCCTACGCATTGGAATGGCAAATAGGCAGCTATAAATGTAAGTTGTCCAAATTTTGTTTCAACAGAAACTCCCAAAGTTTCAAAAACTTTGGTTTCAAATGAAGAAAGAATTTTATGTTTGATTCGTCTATGAATAATGATGGCAACGCCACCACAGGGTCCATCAAGACGATCATTTCTATAAATCAAGTAATTTGCGTCCTTCTTAACCTTATGGTCAGGTTTAAGGAACGTTTCAGTTATAACGGCAATATGCACGTTATGAACTCTCAAAAAGTTAAATAGCTCGTCTTCATTATCTTTAAGAGATCGAGCATTCCAATTTACAATATTTAATGCTTTAAAATCCATTACTGAATTTTAAAGTCATGACAATATTATTTGCAAATTTTACTCCAGTTTGAATAGCATCAAACATGGAGTTAGATTTAAGCATATCAGAAATCATGTCAATTAATGATTTCTGTAAAAATTCCATTTTAGGGGCAGTAATGCTTCCTAAGTCAAAATTGTCAAAATTTCCGTTAGAACGTTGGTTAGTATTTTGATTTCTACCCGCTGCAATAGCAGCATAGGTAGCTCCATTAACTCGCTGAACATTGTTAGCAGTGAGGGGAGTAGGTACAGATGAAACATTTGAAGCAGGGGAGATATTTGTACCTACGGGTACGAATGTAGAATTTGTTCCTCGCTGACCGTTGTTAACAGCAGAGGAATTTGTACCTGGTCGGAAACGTGGAGCGTTTCCTACCTGACGGTTAGAACGAGATTGTAGGATCGCTTTGCGAGTCTTACATTCCCAAAAATTAGATTTGTGGTTTTCACCACAATTTGAACATTTAAATTTCTTAGGATCTTCCTTCACAGGACAGTCGTCCTTTGCGTGAGAGGAATCACCGCAATTCATGCATTTAGCTGGCATGTAGCAATTTTTAGTTCCGTGACCCCATCCCTGGCACTTACGGCACTGGGTGAGGTTTTGGAAATTTCCTCCAGTCTTCCTGAAGTGTTCCCACTTCACTCGGACATGGAGCATAAGGCTAGCTTTTTCTAAGGCCTTAAGGTTGTTTAGTTCACTAGACTTGAAGTGAACTAAATAAAAATCATTAGAAATCCCGTTGCGCGAATCGCCAGGACGGGATTTCATTTTCATTTTGATTACTTGGAGTGGCACAACTCCAAGTAATTTTGCCAGTTCATCTTTGATCTGATCCAGGGATTCACCACTGGGCAGTCCTTTCATGACAACCTTGAACACACGTTCAGTTTTGGTGTCGTAAGTAAAAAACTTGTGCTTCTTCTCAGTAAGATACTTGAGAAGACATTTAAATCCGTCCAAGGTTTCAGCCAATACACGGCATTCACCCCGACGTCCAATTTGTAGTGAAAACTTAACTTTCACGAAATTCAATAGTTCCATGCGAAGAGCATGGAAATCGGTAGTGGTTATCACAATAGGGGGAATCTTTTCCTTCTTGGCATTAAGCCGGGAAAGTTTACTAGAATTTTTCTTGGATGATGGATCATTCTCATCATCCGTGAGCAAATCAAATTGATTACTCAAATTAATTTCTTCAGAAGGGGGGTCAAGAGTTTGCCCCTTTCTTTTGCGTTTAGGCGCCATGGCGGCAGTAAATTTTTATCCAAATCGACTTCCAAGCAGATTACTATAAGAATCTGAAGGATCGAAGAGGAATTTTCCAAATCGATATCCAAGAAGGATTACCTCGGGTAGGGTCCAAACAAGGATCGAAGAGGAATAAGAGGAGTTGAACAAGGTAGAAATTTTACAGGTTGAGCACTGAAAAGTGCTGTTTAAATT